GGGCTGCGGGGCGGGGCCTCTCGGGGGCCTGGGCCCCCCCTCCGCTGCCCCCCTGACGTAAGCCCGGGCGGCCGCAAGCTCGCTCACTTGGCTCTCTCCCTCTGGCCGGGAAGCATGGGTCTGTCCAGGCTTGTCTGCGCCTTCTTGCTCGCCGCCTGCTGCTGCGGTCGCCACGCCGCGGGTGAGTTAGATCGCTTGGGGGCCCGCCCCGCGAAGGGCCCGGGCCGGGAGTCTTCGGTGGAGCGTTCCGGGAGCGGATCTGGCTTCGCGGCAGGGGCCGGCGCTTTGCGCTCCAGCATGCGCCGCTCCTTCCCAGATCCCTGGCACCTGGCGCCTGGAGCGCGCAGCACTCTTCTTCGCATTCAGTTTGCAGCCTCTAATTCGAGTGTCCCCGGAGCAAGAGTGGGAGGCAGGAGGAGGCTGCCGCCCGGGGTGGGGAAGGGTGGAGCTGAGCCTCTTGGGGCGCCGGGGAGAGCTCTTCTTCAGGTACTTACTCTGGGCGCCTGCAGTTAGAGCGGTGGCGGGAGGCGCAGCTAGAGAGTATCATCCCCAAATCGTAAATTCCGCGCCCGCCTGTTGCTGGAAAAGGCAGCTTTCTTAACTGGAGGGGGTGCTCCGACCCCTCCCTCTCCCGCCTGGGCTTCGAGCCAGGCTGAAGGTGAACGAGGGGGAGAGGGATGGCGGCTCCCACCCGGGTTGGGCGTTGGCAAGGGCTGGGGGACGGTGCGGGTCGCCTCGCGTGTACCAGGTCATGGGCTCACAGGTGGCAGAGACGAGGGATTGAGAGTTCCCAGAGTGGAAGCGTCCCTGACTTGTTACACCTCCAGGAATGGGACCACATTTAGGTGGGAAGAGCGCCTAAGCACGAATTCCTGGGAGCCGGACTTCCCGGGTCCACGCTGCCCTTGTACGGCCCGCAGTGGGGTCGCGTGTTTCTCTTGGCTCCTTCCCCCAGACTGCAGCCGCTTTCCGGCTGGGGAAGGGGAGGGCTAGGCAATACCCAGGTCGCTGGCCTTATGCCCAGTGCCGACAGCGTCCCTGGGGTACCCCTGGCTGCTGACTTCCCAAGCTGACTGTATTTCTGGGGAAAGGGCTAAACGAGGCTCCACAACGGCCGGAGGTCCAGCCCCACCCTGCACTGTTCTTCTAGCTCTGGGGAAACAAAATCAGGCATCTGAGGCTTCTGCTCAGGGTCGGAGACCACTCCGTCTGTCCTTGTCCAGAGGCAGCCCAGGGCAACAACCCAGTCATCCCAGAATCCAGCCAGATGAGATTGAGTGACATCACCTCTTCGCAGGGCAGCCAGCACGCTGGCACCACTGACGTCATTCCTGCCCACTGCCTGGCCCTTGCCTTGACCCCTGGGGGGCACTCTAACCCCTCCCTACTCACGGGACTCCCAGGATGGGGTCCCAGGAGTGTGTAGGATGTTCATGGAGGTGCTGCTTAGGGAGCTTCTGGCTAGGATTGGCCTACTGGGTCTTGTGAGGAATTTGAGGAGGGTATTTTGGGGGGCAAAAAGTAGTGATGTCTTCTTCTGGGTGTGAGGACACAAAGGGGCTTATGTGCCCCAGCCTGGCACATGCCTTACATTCCCAATTTCTGAGATCACTCAGAGAGGAGGGGCCCTGGAAGGAAAGGAGCCTTCCTCTTGGCCCAGAGCCTGGGTTGCCCCTCTGCCAGCCTCATCTGGGAGATGCCTGGTGCTCAGGGTCTCTGCTTCAACGACCAGAGATGACCATCCAAACTCCCTTGAACTGGGAGAAGGCTGGCCCGGGGCAGAGGGTAAAGAGTGGATTAAGGGTTAAGAGAGGACAGGGTCCTCTTCAGACCCTCGAAGTGGCAGGAAAAACAGCTGCCGTGAGAGGAGGGGATGGAGAGCAGCTGGAGCTGACACAACTGCTGGAGTGTTCCTCCTCCCTCACCTTCAGGTGTGCCTGGAGAGGCGGAGCAGCCTGAGCCTGAGCTGGTGGAGGTAGAAGTGGGCGGCACAGCCCTTCTCAAGTGTGGTCCTTCCCATTCCCAGGGCAACTTCAGCCATGTTGACTGGTTTTCCGTGAGTGCTAGGGCTCCAGAGAGGGCAGCAGGGGGGTGGCTGTACCCTTCATGTAGGCCCAGGACCCCCACCTCCTCTACCACCCTCCTCTTAGGTCCACAAAGAGAAGCCGACACTCATCTTCCGCGTGCGCCAGGGCCAGGGCCAGAGCGAACCTGGGGAGTACCAGCACCGACTCAGCCTCCAGGACAAAGGGACTACTCTTGCCCTGACATATGTCACCCCCCATGATGAGCGCATCTTCCTGTGCCAGGGCAAGCGCCCTCGGTCCCAGGAGCACCGCATCCAGCTCCGTGTCTACAGTGAGTGCCCATCTGATAGGTATACCTTGTGGGCAGTGTGGGTTGTATGAAGTGCCAATCTCATTCCCCTCTTCATTTCTCTCCCTTGCAGAAGCTCCAGAGGAGCCAAGCATCCAAGTCAATGCCTTGG